TATTTACAAGTGACTGGTACACAGACAGACATTGAGGCCGATTGTGTGTGTGTGTGTGTGTGTGTGTGTTTTTTGTGTGTATGTGTGTGTGTTTTTATATCGTGTGTGATTTCAAAACGTTTAAGGATCATTTATGTGTCCTGTCATGTATCCAGGGTCCAGATGTGTCCTGTCTCGTGTGTCTAGGGTTCAGATGTGTCCTGTCTCGTGTGTCTAGGTTCAGCTGTGTCCTCTCTCGTGTTTCTAGGTTCAGCTGTGTCCTGTCTCGTGTGTCTAGGTTCAGCTGTGTCCTGTCTCGTGTGTCTAGGTTCAGCTGTGTCCTGTCTCGTGTGTCTAGGGTTCAGCTGTGTCCTGTCTCGTGTGTCTAGGTTCAGCTGTGTCCTGTCTCGTGTGTCTAGGGTTCAGCTGTGTCCTGTCTCGTGTGTCTAGGGTTCAGCTGTGTCCTGTCTCGTGTGTCTAGGTTCAGCTGTGTCCTGTCTCGTGTGTCTAGGTTCAGATGTGTCCTGTCTCGTGTGTCTAGGTTCAGCTGTGTCCTCTCTCGTGTTTCTAGGGTTCAGCTGTGTCCTCTCTCCTGTGTCCAGGGCCAGCTGTGTCTTCTCTCCTGTGTCCAGGGCCAGCTGTGTCTTCTCTCCTGTGTTCAGGGCCAGCTGTGTCCTCTCTCCTGTGTCCAGGGCCAGCTGTGTCCTCTCTCCTGTGTCCAGGACAAAGCTGTATCCAGCTTTGTCCTTTCATTCCATCCATATTTACTTATACTTTTTTGTCAATCTACTTTTGTATTCGGCGAGTGTATGAATTCCCGACCGTGTATAACAGGCTTCAGTGTATATGTGTGCAAATACGCGTGTATGTATAAATGTATCTATATATATATATATATATATATATATATATATATATATATATATAAAAGTTTGTGAGGGTACCACCTCTGGTGCCAATGTGGGGACCCATAGCCTCGGAGAAGAAAATAAAAAGTATTCAGAGGAGACCTTGTGGTTTCTCACTGAACACTAATATTATCTTCTACCACCCCCATTCTTTTGTATGTACATATATATATATATGTACATACATATATATATATATATATATATATATATATATATATATATATATATATATATATATATATATATATATATATATATATATATCCAGGTATGTATTTCTTAATCTAAATGTTGGCATTTAGAAGTCTGTGTATACATGTAGTAATGTAATATATGTATATATCTATGTATGTTTACCCCGTTCCTGAATGTATAGTCTGTATTTCTATACATGAGTATGTATACATTAAACAAGTTCACATACGACAAAGAAAAGATGCTTATTACGTCACACTCAACTTATGACGTCATAGAAAACCGTTGACATTGCAGCTGACGTCACAGTACATCCACCAATCACAAACGTCGAGGAAGACTAGGGATATATATATACGTATTCACCTTACGCTTCAGGGATCGATAAAAAAAAATCAAACATCTATTAATAAAAGCATAATTGACGAGGTAATTTGTGTTTTGAATTCAAGATTTTACCCGCCAAAACCTTATTTATACCAAGGCGGGAAACTCCGTTAATAACACCGGCTTTAAATATAACGCCTGAGTTGCCGACTAGTGGTCTTTCATTTATCTTGGTTGTATATTGTGTTAGGCAGACTATTTCATATATATATATATATACACACACAGAGGTGTATTATGTTGGTGTGTGTATATCCTATAAGTATACTTATGTTCAGGACTAAATTATACTTGCTGGTGGGTCAGTAAGGTGTTGTGGTGGCCTTAATAACCCTTCAGAGATTAATAGGACTTAATAACCCTCCAGAGGTTGCTATAGGCCTTAAGTCCAATGTCAAAACACAGTTTGTCATTAGAACACCCCATGGAGGTCCTATATAATATACTGATTACGTTATATATATATATATATATATATATATATATATATATATATATATATATATATATATATATATATATATATATATATATATATGACAATGTCAGACCACGGAGGAAAATGAAACAGGAATTTCCTTAAGTACTTTCGTATATTAAATACATCTTCAGAAGGAATGTTTCCTTCTGAAGATGTATTTAATATACGAAAGTACTTAAGGAAATTCCTGTTTCATTTACCTCCGTGGTCTGACATTGTCACATTCTTAATCACGTGTTTATTTTCGTGATATACATATATATATATATATATATATATATATATATATATATATATATATATATATATATATATATATATATATATATATATATATATATATATATATATATATATATATAATGTCTATGAAACTTAGTTTCGACTGAACAAAATATACATATCAATGTATTGAACAAAATGTTTACTTAAGTTCAAACATATTTCTGATGAAAACTATGAACTTACATTATAGAAGAACAGGTAAATTGACTATTCCAAGTTATATTTGGAAATTAGGGCCAATATGTATAGATTAGTATACATACAGGCCCACCTGACACTATATGACACCAGTTGACAACTTCCCTCCACTTGACACTATATGACACCAGTTGACAACTTCCCTCCACTTGACACAACATGACACCAGCTGACAACATATCCCTCCACTTGACACAATATGACACCAGCTGACAACTTCCCTCCACTTGACACAATATGACACCAGCTGACAACATATCCCTCCACTTGACACAATATGACACCAGCTGACAACTTCCCTCCACTTGACACTATATGACACCAGCTGACAACATATCCCTCCACTTGACACAACATGACACCAGTTGACAACTTCCCTCCACTTGACACAACATGACACCAGCTGACAACATATCCCTCCACTTGACACAACATGACACCAGCTGACAACATATCCCTCCACTTGACACAATATGACACCAGCTGACAACATATCCCTCCACTTGACACAATATGACACCAGCTGACAACTTCCCTCCACTTGACACAATATGACACCAGCTGACAACATATCCCTCCACTTGACACAACATGACACCAGCTGACAACATATCCCTCCACTTGACACAACATGACACCAGTTGACAACTTCCCTCCACTTGACACAACATGACACCAGCTGACAACTTCCCTCCACTTGACACAACATGACACCAGCTGACAACATATCCCTCCACTTGACACAACATGACACCAGTTGACAACTTCCCTCCACTTGACACAATATGACACCAGCTGACAACTTCCCTCCACTTGACACAATATGACACCAGCTGACAACATATCCCTCCACTTGACACAACATGACACCAGTTGACAACTTCCCTCCACTTGACACAATATGACACCAGTTGACAACTTCCCTCCACTTGACACAACATGACACCAGCTGACAACATATCCCTCCACTTGACACAACAAGACACCAGCTGACAACATATCCCTCCACTTGACACAATATGACACCAGCTGATCCAACATGCCAGAGAAGCACATAATGTAATCACTATAACGAGGTTGTCAAGAACGTAAATCGTAAAAGATAAATTGTTTACGTAAAAAATGTAAAAAAAAGTAAAACAAAAAACCGTAAACCGTTTTCTGTCAAACGTAACAATGTTCATTCTAATAATTATGTTAAATAACTTCATTAAATTACTATAAAATGTTTAAGAATAATACGTTAATTATCATAAAGATACAACGAAATACAATGATACATCAGTTGTATGATACAGCCAGTTATTCCAAGTATGTCATAAATCATGGCATCGACATGTGGCAACACCGCCGTGACGTCATGAATGCCAAGGTACAATAATTTCATTTATATTCTTTATCAATTCCTGACATTCCAGGTGGGGATTCCAGCACACAGTGGCTGGATTTCCAGATTCCTGGGACAAGGCCTCATGCATATTCTGCTTTTATTACCGATATATTGTCTTAATATATTTTTATATTAATTGCAATCGCGGGACACGATTTGAATACGATAATTCAAACGTTTGTGTACGATAATTGATATATTCGTGTACGATAACATATATTCTTATGTACGAAATTTTTAATCGTTGACTCCAAATGTGTTTAAATCATTGAGAATGATAAATTAAACCGTTTTGAACGATGTTCTTATATATTATAGGTAATTATGTGACTTATATTCGTTAAAATCTGTGATTAGTTCACAGATGTTCGTCTGTGAATATCTGAATTAGTTCGTTCCTGGAATACGAATATTTAAAGCATCGAATGTATAAGGGGGTTTGATACCATACTAAGAGATACCAACTATACGCTACAGGTGATTGGCTGGCGTTATGGTCACGTGATTACGGTGTTGCCGTCACTATGAACCAGTGTTGCCGTCATCGTAACACAACGCCAGTCAAACTATTGCTAAAAAAAAAATCACAGCGAATCTAAACACTTAATAACGGTTTATCACTTGTTTCAACAACTTCCTACACCGCGCGCTTGAAAAATCTACGCCCCGCCCACCAATATCGGTGATTGGCTGGGAGTGTTGGATGGACCTCATTAGCTCCGCCCATTAACTCTCGCAGCCAACCACCTCGTCTCCTTTATTGTTTAGGGGCGGGGCTAAGGGGTCTCAAGGGCATTAAACACAGGTACTGGGCACCCCCTTCTTAAGGGGTCGTAGAAACTATCGTTACAGATCTATAAACATTTGGTCAAAAACACCCATTAGACTAGAAATAACTATTAAACTATATCTTGTCTTAGATATCTAACCTCTGTGAGCTATGCACATACGTTAATCAGGTCGCCCTGTTTATATATATATATATATTCTATAGTATTTAGACTTGTATAAAACATTGTTTCTAACCGCTAAAATATCTAACTTCAAATTTTTTTGATTTTGATCACATCCCAACACACACACACACACACCCTCACCTGTTGATTGACGGTTGAGAGGCGGGACCAAAGAGCCAGAGCTCAACCCCGGCAAACACAACCAGGTGAGTACACACACACACACACACACACACACACACACACACACACACACACACACACACACACACACACACACAGGAGCCGAACCAAAGCATACAAATGTACACACCCTTAATAGTCAACCGCTCCAATTTTAGCCACCTTGTCGACTGTGGTCATCTCAATGTGGCAGTATTCAGAGCTGAAAGCCGAGCGAGGCGGGACTTCAGAAGACGGCGTGTCGTGCGACCCAGTGAACCCCGCACAACACTGTAAAAGTCTCCTCCCGCGTCCGCAACACAGACGCGAAGTCCTCCGCAGGGTGACGCAGCTGAAGCCATAGTGAGCCAGGGTCTTACGGAAGGCCTTCCTAAAGTCGCGATTGAAGTAGGCGTAGATGATGGGATTGAGCGTAGAGTTGAAGTACCCTGCAGGAGGAAGGTTGACGGTCATAGGGGGGTTGATATGGACGGATTTGTATAGGATTGATACTGGGGATGTGACTGACATGGACCTTAATAGGAATAACTGGGGAACGAAGATGGGGTTTACGTTTGCTCAGACAACATGACACTGACACGAGGCAAGTTATTTTTACTGTAAGCAGTTAGGCTGTCATGCTTGTATCGGTCATGAGGCAGGTAGCAGATACCTCGACAAAGTTGTCATGAATTAAATACGAGGTTACCACCGTGCTGACGCCGTTGTTGCATGACAGCTGTCATGCGCATGACAGGCAGTTGTCATGGGGAGCCAGAAGAATGTGGAGATCGATGCAACACATTCACAAAATATGTGCAATATGTGTGTGTCGAGAAATATGCTATTTTGATTAATATGAAATGATAATTACATTTAAAGTTGTGTGTCAAATTGGCTTGAACAACTGATGACCAGACCACACACTAGAAGGTGAAGGGACGACGACATTTCGATCCGTCGTGGACCATTTCTCAAGTCACAATCGACTTGAGAATGGTCAGGACGGACCTTATTTAGTCCGTTGCACATATTTACAACACAGACTGAAACTGTTCTTTCTGGCATCTCTAAGACTTACCATTGTTGTCAGTTTCCAAACATGTCCTCTCAAGCTGGTCTTTAATGTGAGCCTTACTTCTATATCTACTTCTATATCTACTTCAATCCTCTTACTATATTGTACATGTGTGGGTTTGTAATTACTTAAGTATAGTTACCTAAGTATAGTTACAGGACGAGAGCTACGCTCGTGGTGTCCCGTCTTCCCAGCACTCTTGGTCGTATAACGCTTTGCTGTGTGTGTGTGTAGAAGGACTTACCTATCCAGAAGAGGATGGTGACGATGGCGTTGGGGACAGCGCAGGCCTGACCGCAGAGCGCCGAGACCAGGTACCAGGTGAAGAAGGGTAGCCAACACAGTAGGAACACTGATACTATGATCCCCAGGGTCTTGGCCGCCTGCCGGAGTGTCAGGGAGAGTTAGATGATAGGAGAGAAGCAGGGTGGGTGAGAGACAGGGAGGGTGAGAGGCAGGGAGGGTGAAAGACAGGGAGGGTGAGAGGCAGGGAGGGTGAGAGACAGGGAGGGTGAGAGAGGCAGGGAGGGGTGAGAGCCAGGGAGTGTGAGAGACAGGGAGGGTGAGAGACAGGGAGGGTGAGAGGCAGGGAGGGTGAGAGACAGGGAGGGTGAGAGGCAGGGAGGGTGAGAGGCAGGGAGGGTGAGAGGCAGGGAGGGTGAGAGGCAGGGAGGGTGAGAGGCAGGGAGGGTGAGAGGCAGGGAGGGTGAGAGGCAGGGAGGGTGAGAGGCAGGGAGGGTGAGAGACAGGGAGGGTGAGAGACAGGGAGGGTGAGAGACAGGGAGGGTGAGAGGCAGGGAGGGTGAGAGACAGAGAAGACACAGAAAGGGGGTAAAGTCTGTGGGAAGGGAGGGGAAAGAGTGGGACAGTAAAGACTGTATCAGCCAATCACCAACCAACCCTCACCTTTCCCAGACCCATATAAACAAACTTAGGCCTAACATACCCAACACAATGCCTATGGTAGGCCTATGAGAGGTTATCGCTTATAATAACGTGCTCCATTATCTGCCACTCTACAAAACCATTAGTTCAAAATATATATACTTCCTTTTTGTACACTTACTCCTTATAGTCTTAATATGTACTATCTTTCTGGTGGATACGGATATCTGTACTATCTTTCTGGTGGATACGGTGAAAGTAATGACTGTTGGTCCATGAACAAGCACTCTGTGGTTACATAGTTCATGTTGTACAGTGCAAGCAAACGATTGCCTCGGACTAGAGCAACCCGTTCTCGCACTTTCTTATAGTCAATATTGACTTATTAAATACGTGCATATGTGACATACTAAACATACTAGTTTACCTTGAAAAGCTTCATAGAAAACACCGACCTTACCTAACCTTCTTAGTATGTTAAGATAAGCATCTTATTGCTTCTTAATTACAATGATTACTTAACTTATACCTATAATAGGTTACATATACCTATACCTAAAAACGGAAACCACGTACAAAACTCAGGCAAATCATAACATAGAACGAAAAGGCAATGTAAAGGATCTGGGTGTACTCATGTCGGAAGACCTTACCTTTAAAGAACACAATAAAGTAGTCGTCACAACTGCAAGAAAAATGACAGGTTGGATAACAAGAACTTTTCACACTAGAGATGCTATACCGATGATGATACTTTTCAAAACACTTGTGCTCTCTAGAGTGGAGTACTGCTGCACAATGACAGCCCCTTTCAAAGCTGGAGAAATTGCTGACCTGGAGAGCGTGCAGAGATCCTTTACTGCTAGAATCCACTCAGTAAAACATCTAAACTATTGGGACCGACTAAAGAGCCTAAAACTGTACTCCCTTGAGCGCAGGCGGGAGAGGTACATAATAATTTACACGTGGAAAATATTAGAGGGGCTGGTCCCAAACCTGCACACAGAAATAACATCACATGAGACCAGAAGACATGGCAGGATGTGCAGAATACCCCCGTTGAAAAACAGAGGTGCAACTGGTACTCTGAGAGAGACCTCTATCAACATCAGAGGCCCGAGACTGTTCAACACGCTTCCACTACACATAAGGGGCATAACTGGCCGACCCCTCACAGTGTTCAAGAGAGAACTGGATAAGCACCTCCAAAGGATACCTGATCAACCAGGCTGTGACTCATACGTCAGGCTGCGAGCAGCCGCGTCCAACAGCCTGGTTGATCAGTCCGGCAATCAGGAGGCCAGGTCGACGACCGGGCCGCGGGGACGCTAAGCCCCGGAAGCACCTCAAGGTAACCTCAAGGTATACCTATAATAACCTATACCTATAATAGGTTAAGCAATAATTGCAATTACGAAGCAATAAAATGCTTATCTTAACATACTAAGAAGGTTAGGTAAGGTCGGTGTTTTCTATGAAGCTTTTCAAGGTAGACTAGTATGTCACATATGCACGTATTTAATAAGTCAATATTGACTATACGAAAGTGCGAGAACGGGTTGACTAGAGCCTTGGTTTCCGTGTGGCTGTGATGGTGAGTTTCTTCGGGTATCCGCCAGGGGGAGAGGCAGGACCCACGCTATCCTGTGTGTTCAGCCACCATGTGTTCATTGTAGTTGGGGACCCGTATGTTGCCCGGTTTCATCACCTATAGTAAGTGTTCAACACTCGACGCTGAGGACATGGAGTGACTGCAGCTCCTGGAGCACAACATGCTCCTTTGGTGGAGAGACGGAGGGTCAGATGGGAGGGTCGGTGAGGGTACCTGGGTGTTAGTCAGCTGTCACGGGCTGCTTCCTGGGGGTGGAGGCTTGGTCGAGGACCGGGCCGCGGGGACACTAAAAAGCCCCGAAATCATCTCAAGATCTCAAGATAACCTCCCTGTCGGTGCCTGGGTTGTTATTGAGACCATTCATTAGATACCTACATATACTGTTGACCAGACCACACACTAGAAGGTGAAGGGACGACGACGTTTCGGTCCGTCCTGGACCGTTTCTCAACTCACAATCGACTTGAAAATGGTCCAGGACGGACCGAAACGTCGTCGTCCCTTCACTTTCTAGTGTGTGGTCTGGTCAACATACTTCAGCCACGTTATTGTGACTCCTCGTCTGCCTACATATACTATCCTTATTACGTCTGGGGGTAGCCAATGGTCACCCCCCTTGTTGAAGTCTGTGGTGGGGGGGGGGGGGGGGGTGTAAGGAAGGAAGGAATTATCAAGGGAAAGCGCCAAGCCATTACGACTATATAGCACTGGGAAGGGGTCAGGATAAGGATTTGGGATGGGACGGGGGAAGGAATGGTGCCCCAACCACTTGGACGGTCGGGGATTGAACACTGATCTGCATGAAGCGAGACCGTCGCTCTACCGTCCAGCCCAAGTGGTTGGGTAAGGGGGGGGGGTGTAAGGAAATGAAGTCTAATACTCGTTTGTCGAGTGGTTCTTTTTCCGACTCAACGCACCAGTCCGCTCTCTGGGACTTGAGTGCCAGCTGACTTGGCCCTCGAGTCAGACCGGCATGGAAGAACGGTTCCCCCCTCTCTCTCTCGCAGGGAGGTGCTTCCTCTTGGCTCAATGGTTCCTGGTGTGTTGAGTGCTGAGCTGGCTTCGTCTTGGCTTCTCCCTCCCCTTTACAAATTCTATAGCTGGGACGTCTCCCATGCCCCTAAGGGCTACTGATTCCTTGCTTGGAGCATCATCATCTTAGTTCTGAAGGTGCTGTATGCTCCCTCCAACCACTTGGGCTGGACCTTACTAGTCAGTATACTTCTATCTAAAAAAGCTAAGTACGTACGAATTGTGACTATTGACAATCGTCACAACAGGGGACTATCTAAACAGGAGGATGATTTACGTGGCCTCAGTGATTGGATTGATCATTCTGACACATAGTTCCTGTTCCTTTAGTTCCTGTTCCATTGATATAAATCTGACGTGACGGAGCCACACTCCTGATCATTTTCCCATCTCCTTTTCCTGTTTTGTCCCAATGTTTATAGATTTAATGAAGCAGACTGGAATGTCTCTGCTCCCTTTGCTGTCGGATCTTCCAAGCCCTCTCATCGTCTCAATGTTATCTAAGCTTACTACATGCTTCTTGAGGTTATCTTGAGAGGATTTCGGGGCTTTAGTGTCCCCGCGGCACGGTCCTCGACCAGGCCTCCACCCCCAGGAAGCAGCCCGTGACAGCTGACTAACACCCAGGTCCCTATTTTACTGCTAGGTAACAGGGGCATAGGGTGAAAGAAACTGCCCATTGTTCCTCGCCGGCGCCCGGGATCGAACCCGGGACCACAGGATCACAAGTCCAGTGTGCTATCCTCTCGGCCGACCGGCTCCCCGGTCCCTTCCCGCCAAACACACACCGAAACTACGACGTTGGTACAACGTTGGAACAAGTTTTAACAACACCTAACCAGTTATAACAACCAATATAGCAAGTTGTAACAACGTTCTAATACGTCAAAAACACGTTAAGCCAAGATGTAACAACTTTATTACAAGTTGTAACAAGCGGAAAATAGAGACAGTTTCGGTTTGTGTTTCCAGGGTTCCCTTCACTATATCATGCTGCGTCTCCTGTGGCAGACACAAGTGTATACCTTGGTGGAGTTCTGACGGCGCCCATGTTGTCTGTAGCAAGCGTCCAGCCTGGGAAAAAGCACCGCTGTTGGCAAACGTTTGAGTGTTTTATTTTATTTGGGAGGGCCAGTATGTTGGTGCGGCGGCCCTTGGAGGCCAGCTGTACAAATACACGCGAGAGTTGAGCCTTTGCCTCCACTACTCCTGTCAATATTCCTCTTCCTCAATATCAATATTCCTCAATAACCTAACCTAACCTTCCCCAATATCTGGAGGGTGTGTAAGATTGCGAGTGAATATGGATCAGATATAACACTTCTTCATGACATCCGGGCGAATCATTTTATCCAATATTAGTCGCCAATGAGCGAGGTTCGCGCTACTCTCCTGTTAGATAGAGTTGTTATCTCTATCTTGCCTACAATATTTCGCCCTTGGACTTTGGTACTCACCTCTTACTAGGAAGCATTTAGGAAGCATGTTCCTCTGTGGGAATTAGCTTGGGCACCCAGCCATCTTGGTGCTACCTACCCGGAATCACCTTGTCTCTGCTTAAGGCGGCTGCTATTCGTGCTCGTCTCATCTTTCATAACCAGATTCTTTTTGGTATCTGAGTTCTACCCCTGTTCACACCGCAATTTTCACTCTTGGGTCTGTTCGACAGCCTGGTACTACGGCGAACAAACTGCTTACTCCGGAAAGTGACCTATCCCCCATGCCCTTCAGAATCTTACTACTGAAATAGGCCGGTGGGGAAACGGCTCTGATTACCCTGCGTATTTGGCCAGATGGGCTACAGTCATGGGCACTTGATGGAACAACGTCCTGTTCTTTAGTGTCCAACCTACACTGTCCTCTGGTCAGTGTAGACCAGGGGGGACTGTTCTTGCTTACGGCTCGGTCCTTCCTCAGTGTAGAATGTCCTGATTTTCAGGATGATTGTCACTCTTGCTTTGAGTCTGATTACTAATTGTTCTTAGAGGATGCTTAGATGCTTTGGATGTCCCTTGACTGAGGTGTTTTTTCTTGTCGTATGTGTCCAGTTTAGCGAAGAACCATGTCTTTCGAGGTGAACAAAATGCCTTTGGGTAAAGCACATCTCTCTCACTCCCTCTCTCTTACTCTCCCTCTTTCTCTCCCCCTATCCCCGTCTCCCTCCCTCCCTCCCTCCCTCTCACACACACAAAACACAGGAGAGTCGCAATGCGTCTATCCCGCCTGACACGAGGCTCGGGGATTGCAAGTGTGGCGGTGGACTGCTCCCACCCTAACACCCCCCCACCCCCACAAGGGGGTGTCGAACGTGCTCGGTGTAGGACCAGGAGACGGTGGGCGCCGGTCAGGTAGCGAATGGTGAACAGCTAAGACTTGTGTGTTGGATGATGATTCGGTTACAATCGTTCTGGTGGTTAGTGGAGACCTACTAACCAGCACCCCCCCCCCCCACCCTCCCCAGCGCACCTGTACCTGTAACTACAGGTGTTTGTGCTGGAGTAGTTACAGGAGGTAATGATCAGTGAATTAGCAGAAGTCGCGCTTCATAAGTTTTAGAGATTTTTGGAGATGGTGTGAACTCTGAAACACTGACTCATTGGCTTATATTGGACTCATTATGTCGTAATATTGGACTCATTAGGACGTCATATTGGACTTATTAGGAGGTAAGAGTGGACTCAATAGGACGTCATATTGGACTCATTATGTCGTAATATTGGACTTATTAGGACGTTATATTGAAGAGTTCAAGTGATTGGCTCTTTACTCTCAGCTCTTCGAAGGAAGACGAAGTTTAAGGGGGTTATCACTCTCTCTCTCTCTCTCTCTCTCTCTCTCTCTCTCTCTCTCTCTCTCTCTCTCTCTCTCTCTCTCTCTCTCTCTCTCTCTCTCTCTCTCTCTCTCTCTCTCTCTCTCTCTCTCCCTCTCCCTCTCCCTCACCCTCTCCCTCTCCCTCTCTCTCTCTCCCTCTCCCCATCCAATCTTCACTTCCTCTTCATTTCTATCTCCCATCTTATCCCTTCCACTTCCTCCCCCACGGATGACCTCCCCTCCCACTGGCCTCTTCTCTCCCACACCAGATCTACCTTCGCCTTGGGGGGGGGGAGGGTGTTGACCAATGGTTGTGTTCTTTCATCGATTTCACGTCAACAGCTGCTGCATGTCTGACGAGTTCAGAGTGCCTCATGAGTGCGTGGGAGAGTGTGTGTGGGAGGGCGTGTGGGTGGGATGGAAGGGAAGGGGAAGGGGGGGGGGTTGTGAGGGAGGGAAGTAGGCAAGAAGGGAATAGTGAAGAATGGGAGAGAGAGAGACAGAAGAGGCGATAAGACGAGAGAGAGAGAGAGAGAGAGAGAGAGAGACATATAGTCAATCAAATGTTGAATAGAATGCAAGATTGAGATAATATTTTCTTATTCATGACGTATGAGTAACACTCATCAATTAAGAGGCGAGATGGTCGACTACCGAGTGGGAAGGTCGCGCAAAAGAGTCACTCAAGCGGGAATGAATGAAGTCTTCATTCACCGGATATTCATTCGCGTGGAAGAAGAAAAATAAAACTGGGTAATAGACCTGTGTGTTTTACTGCGTCTCCTTCCTGACTCCAAATAAAAACCTAATTAAGGTGATTAGACTCCTTTAATCACCCTTGTCTTGACCTAATCACACGCTATCTTGTATCTTGTATACACCGAGGAAATTAAAATCGATAGGCCATCTTTTTGTTTGTAATTAACAATAGCTAAGCCGGATATATGTATATATCTTACATATAACAATGTGTAAGACGGATATAAACGTCTCCAAGACGCTAAACAAGGGACATGTGAGACAGGCACAGCGGTTCAGCCTCCCTGTCAAGAGACGGGTTACAGGAAACACAGACCGGAGGGCCGGTATTACGGATCAGAGCCGGACATGCTTTGCATATCCGGCTCTCATTAGCGGACCCTCTCATTAGGGCCGGGTCCATGAGCTGCACCCTAACCAGGGAGCTTAACAAGGGGCCCTCCTTGTTAGATGTGAGAGGCCTTGATGAGTACGTGTCTCACTCCAAACTGTTCCTCACTCCAAACTGTTCCTCACTCCAAACTGTCCCTCACTCCAAACTGTTCCTCATTCCTAACTGTCCCTCAGTCCAAACTGTTCCTCACTCCAAACTGTCCCTCACTCCAAACTGTTCCTCACTCCAAACTCCTCTCACTCCAAACTGTCCCTCACTCCAAACTGTTCTTCACTCCAAACTGTTCCTCACTCCAAACTGTCCCTCACTCCAAACTGTCCCTCACTCCAAACTGTCCCTCACTCCAAACTGTCCCTCACTCCAAACTGTCCCTCACTCCAAACTGTCCCTCACTCCAAACTGTCCATCCTATGATTGACCTCAAAGCCACAATCATCAATTTTTCACGAGCTGGGTATTAAAAAAAAAGGTATTTTCTCAAATGTTAATATCATTATATACTAGAATGTGTCGAATAGTTAGGCCAAAGTTAGGTAGTTAGGTTCTGTTGGCGATTATTCGGATTTGCAGTACGTGGATAAGGGCGATCAGAAAGGTGCAATTCGAACAGTCAGCGAGGCGCTGTTCGGAATGTGTGTGTGTTCGATTATCAGTTGTGAAGGGGCGAGTTAAGAGATTTTATTTATAAATAAGGGGAGGATTGATGGGTGGATAATGCTCAGTTATTCAGGCTATATTATCCTCTCCCCCCCCACCATTAACCACCCCTCCACACCATTAACCACCCCTCCCCCAACCATTAACCACCCCTCCCCCCACACCATTAACCACCCCTCCCCCCACACCATTAACCACCCCTCCCCCCACCATTAACTACCCCCCCCTACCATTAACCACCCCTCCCCACCATTAACCACCCCTCCCCCAACCATTAACCACCCCTCCCCCAACCATTAACCACCCCTCCCCCCACACCATTAACCACCCCTCCCCCAACCATTAACCACCCCTCCCCCCACACCATTAACCACCCCTCCCCACCATTAACCACCCCTCCCCCCAACCATTAACCACCCCCCCCCCCCACACCATTAACCACCCCTCCCCCCACACCATTAACCACCCCTCCCTCCACACCATTAACCACCCCTCCCCACCATTAACCACCCCTCCCCCAACCATTAACCACCCCTCCCCCAACCATTAACCACCCCTCCCCCCACACCATTAACCACCCCTCCCCCAACCATTAACCACCCCTCCCCCCCCACACCATTAACCACCCCTCCCCCAACCATTAACCACCCCTCCCCCCCACACCATTAACCACCCCTCCCCACCATTAACCACCCCCCCCCATTAACCACCCCCTCCCCCCCACCATTAACCACCCCTCCCCCCCCCACCATTAACCACCCCTCCCCCCACCATTAACCACCCCTCCCCCCCACCATTAACCACCCCTCCCCCCCACCATTAACCACCCCCACCCCCCACCATTAACCACCCCTCCCCCACCATTAACCATCCCTCCCCCCACCATTAACCACCCCTCCCCCCCACCATTAACCACCCCTCCCCCAACCATTAACCACCCCCCCCCCCAACCATTAACCACCCCTCCCCACCATTAACCACCCCCCACCATTAACCACCCCTCCCCCCCACCATTAACCACCCCTCCCCCCCCACCATTAACCACCCCTCCCCCCCACCATTAACCACCCCTCCCCCAACCATTAACCACCCCCCCTACCATTAACCACCCCTCCCCCCATTAACCACCCCCCCCCTACCATTACCCCCCCTACCATTAACCCCCCCCTACCATTAACCACCCCCCTACCATTAACCACCCCCCCCCTACCATTAACCACCCCCCCAACCATTAACCACCCCCCCAACCATTAACCACCCCCCCTACCATTAACCACCCCCCCCCCTACCATTACCACCCCCCCCTACCATTAACCACCCCCCCCCAACCATTAACCACCCCCCCCCCCAACCATTAACCACCCCCCCCTACCATTAACCACCACCCCCCCTACCATTAACCACCTACCTTCCTCTCCCTCTTCATCTTGTGTAGCGACGCCTGCTTCTTCTTCGCCTCCCCTGCTGTAGTAACACTCATGATGGCGTCTGGACCCACGCCCGTCGAGCTCTTCCTCACGCCCACGCCCATGAACCGCCTCTTGCCCTCCAGCCGCCCACGCCTCGCCACGGGCGTGCTGCCAGGCGAGGGCGTGGGCGTGGAGTCATCACTGTGGGCCAAGTCCACACGAGTACCAACCGACTGATCCAGACACGCCTCGGCCACAGACCGCGGGGGCGGCTCGAACGCCGATACCCCGTTGCTGTGGATACCAGGGGCCGCCCCTGGTGGTGCCCCTGGCGTGGGGGGCGGTGCCCCTGGCGGTGATGGCGGCGGGGGAGGCTTGACGTGGCCAGCCACACCTGTCAAGGGCCCGCCGCTGGGGGCGTCGTCTGTGATCTTCACGCTCCCGCGCGTCATCCCGTTGATGTGCAGATGTTTGTTGAGTAACAGCGCCGCCACCGTCGACCTGAGGAACCACACGGGCCATCGTTACTGCATGTATATAGCTCTGTATGTATATACTATGCATGTATATACTCTATAATCTATATGTACAACTGTATATAAATATGTATGGTTGTGTAAAATATGTATGGCTTTGTGTATATATGTATGGCTCTGTGTAAATATGTATGGCTCTGTGTAAATATGTATGGCTCTGTGTAAATATGTATGGCTCTGTATATATATGTATGGCTCTGTAAATATGCTAAGCAATATAAAAATATGTATACTTGTATATGTATATATATGTACATGTATATGTAGAGAAGGATCCTTCTGAAGATGTATTAGTAAATATATATATATTTATATATATATAAAAAATATATATATATATATATATATATATATATATATATATATATATATATATATATATATATATATATATATATATATATATATATATATGTATATCACGAATATAAACACGTGATTAAGAATGTGACAATGTCAGACCACGGAGGAAAATGAAACAGGAATTTCCTTAAGTACTTTCGTATATTAAATACATCTTCAGAAGGAATACATCTTCATTCCTTCTGAAGATGTATTTAATATACGAAAGTACTTAAGGAAATTCCTGTTTCATTTTCCTCCGAGGTCTGACATTGTCATATATATATATATATATATATATATATATATATATATATATATATATATATATATATATATATATATATATATATATATATATATATATATATATATATATATATATATATATATATATATATATATATATATATATATATATATATATCAGCTTCCAATCGTCGCCTCCATGGTAATTTATTTGTAGGGGACAGGAAGCCAGAGTGTATTCATACACGTTGGGCTTATATCGAGGAAATAATATATATCCATTTAGAAAGATAATTACAAATAAAATAATAAATATATAAATCAGAATTATCTGTCAGAGAGTCGAGGTCAGACGCTTAGGGCTAGTCCCACACAAATTTTCAGAGAGAGAGAGAGAATATGCCATATATATATTTTTCCATTTATTATCGTCATTTCTCATCATTTTCATAGATTTATTCACACTGCTCCGTCTACTAATATTATAAAAAATAGATAATAAACCAAACGACCACAAAAATAACGAATGGGGTGGAGAGGAAAATATTAAAAAATTTTCAGCCAATTTGACCTTACCGTTTCCCCGGTAGTTTGGGTCAGCCAATGGGGAAGCTAACAGCCCAATTTAGTGCATCACAATGGCCATTGCTCTCGTACTGGGCTTCAGCGCATTGTCAGGACTGACCTGTTTTGGGAAGGTAATTCCCATTCGATGATTGACGAGCCAGTGAGGTTTATATGGGTAAACCCTGATGCGAATTCTGGTTTACAGGGCTTTTATGTAACGGTTTACGTAATTTTACATTCAGATGCAATATTTGCAATGCTGCAAATGTTGTTTTTATTTTTCGTTATTGTCTTAAGAGCATTTACAGAACATGAGAGAGTTTTAGCGTTTATCTCAACTTAAAGGTCAATATTATTACTCTTAGACATACTCTTGACCTACAAAGTAGTTACAAATAATGTATTATTTTGATTGCAAATTTAACATTCGGAGGAAAATAATACATATTTTTGAACTTTTATAATTTAAAGTTAATTGTTTGGGAACAACTGAACTCCAGGTCTTGTATCTGATTACATATTAAACCCCCAGAGTGATTTCCAAGACCAAGAATACTCACCAAGGCTCTCTGACAGGTCAAAGGTCATCTTGATTTATTTTACTTAGGGCAGAAGACAGCTTTGTGGCCTCTTATAGCTAAAGGTCAATTTCCTAACCAGTTAATAATTCAATTGCCTTCGATCATGTCTATTTTCTATGATAAAGGTCACTTGGCAGCAACCGGTTAGGTCAATCATCAATTACCAATGACCTCGTATGCCTCCAGTCCTGTTCCAGAACCATTTTAGGCCAAATGTCATCTCCAAACTGGCAGGAAGATCAGGGAGGTCGTTAACATGTCCTCACTGTTTCCTAGGCGATGAAGGAAGCAGTCCTCTCCCCATGGATATGTGGGGGACGGCCCCCCCTCCCCATGGCTGAGAGGGGAAACCCTCTCCCCATGGCTGAGAGGGGAAGCCCTCTCCCCATGGCTGAGAGGGGAAGCCCTCTACTCATGGCTGAGAGGGGAAGCCCTCTCCCCATGGCTGAGAGGGGAAGCCCTCTCTTCATGGCTGAGAGGGGAAGCCCTCTCCCCATGGCTGAGAGGGGAAGCCCTCTCCCCATGGCTGAGAGGGGAAGCCCTCTCCCTCATGATTGAGAGGGTTGGCCCTCTCTGGCGTGGCTGAGTGGGGAAGCCCTCGTCTCCATACCTGAGTGGGTCGAACCTATCTAACCGTTGCAGTGCTCCGAACAGACGCCAGAGAAGGGGAGTTGTGTGTGTGTGTGTGGAGGAAGAGAAGATGGGAAGAAGGAGGGTAAAGAATGACGGAGATGTGTTGAAAGTTGGCGCATTTTAGCACATAGCTTCATATTGTTCTCCTAGTGAGGCGTTCTTAAACACCTGCAGCCGTTCTCTCCCTTGACTTAACGTTCTCTCACCCCCTTCCACAACACCGCTTCACTGCGTCCGTATTTACCCCGGGATCCAGTCAGCCGGCGTCAACACACCTGGGAAACTATGGACAAATAGGAAATAATATGCCGCCAGCCCCAGTCACACACACACACCTGTCAGCCCAGTCTTTAATCTCTGACTGGCCCGCCTCTTGTGTCAGCGCGCTCCACAAGGGTGTGGGTGGGTGGGGGTAGGTGGGAGAGGGCGTGGGGGTGTGGGAGAGAGCGTGGGGGTGTGGGGGGTGTGTGGGTGGGGCTTCTTGTAGATTGGTCTTGGAAACCTAACTGTGGTTTGCTTGGGATTACATGTCGCGTCGGCTCCCTTATGCGTAGGTTGGATGGGGGAGGGTGTATAGGGGTGGGTTCTTGGGGGAATGGGGGGTAGACCTGTAAAAAAAAAAAAACTAGTCCCACATGCAAATCTCAAAGTTAAATCCAGACTGATAACGTTGAACAACGACGTTAGCAGTAGTAAAATCCGTGTCAACACTCTATGGAAAATAAAACTTGCATTTCATATTTCATAGAAGTGGCTGGAATTCAGAATTGGAGTCGATCCTTCTTCAAGAGGGGCATGGGGGTGTCGACCTCCCACCCGCCCTATGATACCACACAGTCACAAATCACAATATAAAGGTTCATAAAGGTATGCCTTAGTGTCTAGCTTGCTACCTCAGATAACCAGACATCCTATTTATATCTGTAACTGTAAATTACCGAATCAACGGACTTATCAGGGGACTAACCAAAGTATCAGGGGACTAACGGGTATCAGGGAATCAAGTAATGTATTAGGGCGTCAAACCAGAGTATCAGGTGAAAGTATGGTCCCCTTACTAACGTATTAGGGGACCAATTAATGTATCAGGGGGACCAAATGAAGTATCAGGGGGGGACCAAGCGATATCAGACCAACCAAAATATCAGGGGAGGGGGGAAGTATGGTCCCCTATCTGACGTATTAGGGGACCAATTAATGTATCAGGGAAGGATCAAGCGATATATCAGACCAAACAAAATATCAAGGGTGAAGGGGGGTGTACTATGCTCTAGGCCAGTCACCCCATCTCTCAAGACGGTCACCGTTTTCTGTCAATGCGTATTTACACTTTGTGGTTTCCAAATGTCATGAAGAAAATGAAGCATTATGTAAAATTAAAATGTTGAAGCCATATAGACCAATCATTTGGGCACCTTTCCATATTTTTTTAGATTTCATTTTTGTTGACAAATGGAAAATTGTTGACAGGTTCGCATTCAATTGCATATTCAACGTCGTCATAGTTTATC